AACATGTAGCACGCTTATATAATATAGTTTAGCGTTGCTGAAATAGGAAGAACGCCCGCTGAGGCTTGAATTATGGACTTACAGTACTGCCACGCTCTGACAACGAATCCATAACATGCTGGATCTAGTGGATGGGATTTGTGATAGACGTTGACAGACTGACACATAGAGAATGCTGTTATAATTGAGGATGTTCTGAGCCATGCATGCGAATGCTGTCAGTCACAAAATCAACAAATTAGATCGTTGCGTGGATGACCACTTTTGAGAGTGTCTCAGTGATCACCTCAACGACTTGAAATCACCTGATGACAAGCAAGGAGAAACTACCCCTGATGCATACGTGTACAGTAGCAAACCAGAGGTACATGCGAACTGATTGATGGGATTGTGCGGTGCAGGAGGAGTCTCAGTCGTGTTTCGAAGAATGAACTTCAGTACCATACAGTAAATAGCGATTGAACATGTGCGTGCCAGCTCACGTCAAATCATAGAATGACAGCTAATGCTCGGCTCGTTTGAATTGAAGTTATATGGAGGTGGTGTCAGATAGATTCACTGGTGCTCACTTTTTCGCATTCAGACAATACCAACTGATGAAAACTAATTGAACCTGCTGGAAATGTCGATTTTGCAGTTCTGCAAATGTTTCGTCGATTTTAAAGCTGCCGATACAACCGTATCGTATGTGATGTATTTAAATGTACACCAAACGACGTAAACATTGGTAAGGATGTCGTATGGAGTGGGGCAAAGAATTGTCCATGAACTATGCTCAGATTATTTGCCAACAAACCCGATGAAACCATATTCCATATAGTTTCCGTACGTCCTGGCCATTAACTATCATTTCCTGTTCAAGGGGAATGCAGCAAAGAAGAAATCTGTTGTCCACCTACGTTCTTCATGAGAAGAATTGCTGAGCTCACGCGTTCTCGACGGAGTCAGGAGTCCAGACATCCAAGAAATTCTTGATATACAGCCGTTGCTCATCAAGATCGAGAAGTCACAGATGTAATGGTTTGGGCATGCCTTGGGATTGCTGTCCCGAGGGTAGGCGAAAGAGCTACTACATGCTCAATCAATCGGCCGAAGATCCCGGGGACGACCAAAAACGACCTGGAGCAACTGCTTGACGGACTGTACTCCAAACTCGCCCTATCTTCTAGTGAAGCTGACGCTGGCAATGTATTTGGAACGTTGGAAACATTGTACGACGTTGCTGCCCCGTGACCCAAAGGAGGCGGCCATCAAAACTGACTGCCTGATCTACTGGCCTTCTTTATAGATTAGATTAGCACGGACGATTGCACCAATCCATCAGCCCAGATAGGTAACTGAAGTACCATAATCAACCATTGTGAGGTTCTTAACAATTCTGCAGGGCTAGCGTAGCGGCTCAGGATCATTAACTCCCAAGTACTACTCAAACCTCTCATGTCAACCTCTTGTTTGGGCGTTGCCTGTTCTGTATGATTGAAGTGCTGAGAATTGATTATGGAGGCAATATTTACATGAAATAATTACTATAAATCCAGTTTCTGTCAGAAGCCTTACATCGCATAAAACGGAATTCTTACCAGCAACGTGATTGATCGATAAACAGCTGTTCAGATAAATATCGAAAATATGCGAGGCAAATCACTGCCGTATTCTGGAATAAGCTAAAGAGGTGGTGAAAGGTCACAAGCCTTCGACGAGATTAATTATTGTTATGGGCTGAATGTGACGATGAGCGTAATACTGAAACACTGAACATGAATACCAACGCTATTATTGATTAATCATGGTTTGGTTTGTCAAGTGGTACAGTTAGAAATATTTCGATGTCTGAGTTCATTTTAGAGCACATCCAAATCGAGTCCGGGTAGACGCTGAACTATCCTTAATAATCATAAGAGCATAACTCATTATCTTAGTCACAACTTCACTCCTCTGCAACCTACATGTAAAACTGAGATGAAGCTGTGCCGCTGAAGCAAAAGGAAACGCGTTAGAAGCCTCTCAACCGTTGCTCAGCAACCATTCACCGCTGAATCAACAAAGTTCTGAGGTCAATGGTCATTTCTGATCCAGAAGAAGCGGACAATTAGCATAAATGTGAAGGTGTTGTTTACTTGTTTGCAGAAGAGCGGATCGTTGCATAATGGCTTCACCGAGATCCGTGGTCGTCGTCCTGGCGGTATTAATGGTATTCGATCCATCTGACGTCATCACCGGCCTGAGACCCGTTTCAGCTTATCGTGAAGGTATTGCTTAAGGCCAGAGTGCCGCAAAGCAAATCGATTTTCTGCTGTTTAGTGTGCCAGGTTAACCGCCATCTGGTGAAGCCACCGACCTACGAAATATTGGATATCGCCAGATCAGGTAGGGCATGTCTTCGGTCTTCTCACTTCTACCGTAATACGTTAGGTACCGTCGTCTTCGCAGCGAGCTACTGGCCTCGCGACGCAGTGGTGAAGCCAGGAGGCATCTCCGGCCTGGCCGCCGATTTCCTCCGGAACAGCTTCACGTACGACCTGCCGAACAACGGCCTCGTTCGACTGGTAACCAACGGCACCGTGCGACTGGTAACGCGACCGACTACTGCTAAGTTTAGATGATTACCGTATGTTTTACTTTCAGCCACCGTATCCATCGCAGTTGACCGAAACCTACCTCACCATAGACATTTTGTGCAACGGCAATATGCATGCACTGGCCATTCTAAAAGTCACGTCTACCAACAGGCATGCGCCGAGGTTCCTCGGTCTGCCGTATACTCTGATCATCCCTGAGGTATTCACGTGCTAACCTGTTGATACTTTGTTGCAGAGGCTTCGAAGAAACGATATACTCATAACGGTGAACATATTTAAGTGCGCCCCCTTCAGATATAATTGAGATTGACCAAAATTATTATCTGCCGCAAACATATCCGCGACAATGATTAGAGGAGGTGGTAGATTTGTCTTCTGAACAGTTTTGCATGATTAAATGTAGAGCTAACTCAAATTACCCTGTCATGAAATATTTTGACTAATTTGAGGCTAGTTTTTGACTAGTGACAATATATAATTGTCATTTGATTTCCTGTATGCAAATCTTGGAAAGCAACTAAGCGATGAAGCACAACAGAGGA